TCACATTTAGCCGAAATTTGGGCAAGCGGGTCGTGGGAGGATTTCTCAATAAAATTAAGAGCAACACAAGAACTAGAAAGATATCACAATAGAACCGAAAACTATCAGGATAAAACTAAAGGGTATCACCAGGATAAATTTCTGCCCAAAGAAAGCAGATTTAAATTAAAAGACACCTAAAAAGACAACCTTTCATTTGATTACCTTCCAGTTTGCTTGAGCATATCAAGCATATTAGTCTGAAACACATGATCAACAGCCTCAGCGCTAACCCCAGTTCCGCTCTGCGGCATCGCAAACACATCCACGACTCTCACCGTGTACTCGTCGACAAACTCTCCAAGCATCAACCCCATGACCTCCATCGGAACCCCAGCTCTCCCTGCAATCAAAACCCTAGATTTCAACTTAGAGCCAAAACCCTAGATCCACACAAATTGAGTATTGTGATTCTACTTACCGTGCTTGAGCATCTTGAGAAGGGCGAGAGATGAGATGTAGACTTGCTCCGATGAGTCGAGGAGAGGCGAGTCCGTCGGCGGGTGGCCCATGCCGCCGGCGCCGGAGAAGATACGGTGTAATCTCTCCATTGGAGAATTTTAGGTTTCGTTGATTTGAACGGAGAGGATCTAAATTTTGAAACCCTAATTTTTTTTAAAAAAAAAATTTTCTTCAGCTAAGGATTTTATGGGATTTTGGTTAAAGCTTGAGGAGAAAGAAAAAGGGAAGAGGTTGGATCTTGATCGGAGTCTGAGAGTTTCAACCCGAAGTCCGATTGAAAATTTGACAGAAAAGCCACCCGTGATAGGCTTCCTTCGGGTACCATTTTGTTTTCTTTGTTATGTTTTTGTAAAAAAAAACAGCATGATGTTATGTTTTTCCCTTAAAATATTTTTAAAATATCATGTAAAGTATTTTTGATCAATACTAATTTGACTCATTACAATATTAGTATTAAACATATTATTAATATATTATATATTAATTATAATAAAATATATTATAAATAAAATATTATAATATTTAGTTTATATTATTATAGTATTAAAAATATTAAATATAATACAGTATAAAATTGTAATAGCATAATAAGCATGTTGATAATAACTCTATATTAATTATATTTAATATATTATATTAGATATTATATTAACACATTCTCAAATTCAAAACCAAAACAGCAAACTTAAAAACACATTTTAGGTGTTTTGAAATAAGTGTTGTGTTTTTTGTTTGAGGATGATTTAGCTCAAAAAACACCATGGTTTCCAAACGCATGGTGTTTTGTTTTTGGCAAAAACACCATGAAAATAAGTAAAACACCATGGTTTCCAAACGCATAGCGTTTTGTTTTTGGCAAAAACGTATGGTGTTTTGTTTTTCACAAATGGGAACAATTTGATTGTGGAGATTTCTTTTGTTAAGAAACAGGCCCAACAGTTATAATAGACATAAGATTTAGTTTAGGGAGATTTTCCGTGATTATTTTGGTATATAAAAGTTTAAAATATTTTGACCTCATAATATGCAAAAATTGTTGGAATAGGAAAGGAGATATTCAATATTTAAAAAAGTGAAAAAGAAAATATCAGTGGGTGAATTAGTTTGGTATTAACTTTTAGTTTTTTCTTAAGAGGATGAATTCTACCAGAAGGATACATGATTGAGGGGTTTTTTCACTTTCAAAAATATCACTCTCATTGAGCGTGGGAGCTTCTCATAGATAAACGTAAACCAATCCCTTTAAAAGAAAAACCGTAAGTCTCATAGGGAAGAAAGCAAAGTAGCACATTCTCTTACTAATGTTAGTGCTCACAATATTGTTCCCAATTCATGGTTGAATTCTTATTTTGAACTTCTCCTTAGTGAGATTCAGGCTAATGATTTGAATTCTCTTTAAACTTTCATGAGTTTTCCAAAAAAAAAAAAAAAAGAAGAACCTGTAGTCTATTTGACTCTTAAGACCCTTATTCAAAGGCCTTGAGATCCCAAAGGTCATATATTTAAAAACATATTTTTTTTTAAAAGAAAATATCGCTAGGTTTAATTTTTAGCTCATGAAAGAAACAGTCCACTGCAATGATCTGTTAGAGAATAAAAATATAATCATTAGCACTCTCACCACAACTTCAGAGTTTTTGTACGGTACAAGGGACTTTCAACATTCTCCATAAAAAATTCAAAGAGATGCCCGCCCTATAAGTCCCCTTATTATTGGTTTAACATCAAGGGAAATTACAATCAATTGCCATTACAATTATCAATCATCACAATTTGAAACAAATAATATATGACCATAAGGACACAAGTAAAAAATAAATCCTTATAGCACACTAAGACCACCAATCCTCAACCTCAAGGAACTGACTCACACAGGAAAACTCCCTGTGAGTCGAATATGATCCAGAGTCCGACGAAGTCCGTACTTATTAACAGCTTTATTTGCTCTTCTGAAACCCTCGCCATAAGCGGAAGAAGTGTCATTAGCAATTTGATGCATGAAGAACTGGCCGAGCTTTTTCTCGGTGTCGGATGTCGTTGACTTTTTGGAATACGGCGTTGAGGAAGAGGATGAAGATGAAGCATGATACGATGATGTAGGCATAGAAGTTGACCCCGGCATAACCTCA